GGCTGCCAGTCAATGAGTTAATTAAGACATCTCATCTGACTTATTTTGCACACTGATCAGTTTGCCCAGAGCAATAATTGAGGCCGAGGGGAGGAGAATAGTCGACCACACTCCTGATCTATAATCAAGATAACCAGTAAATTGTTTTGGCCGGGGTCGGGTTTCATTTCAAACGGAGGGTGTTGCTCTGAATGAATCATCTCCAGGACAAAGATGGTTCCACGTTTCCTGTCCTTCACCTTTAGAGTCACTTCCCACATCTCTAAGGAAAAAAGAGCGACGATCGGAGTGTCTTTCAGTTAAAAAAATTACACCTCCTTCCCTCCAGTTCGGCGCTGATTACTTCCCATTTCCTTCCTCGCAATCATCTCCCCGTCGCCTCATCGGTTATTCACCGGTTCTCCTCGTCCTCCCGCAAAGATCATCAGCCTCCTCCCTTTTTCTTTCGAGTCTGTTGATGGTCTCAAATGACTCTACGAAAATATTGCCCCCTATTTACTCAAACGAGAGTTCCCATAGCCAGAGTGTGTGGATCAATGAGCAGATCTTAACCCTGTAATGCCAAATGTGTCATATCTGATACAGTTTCTGAAATGTTTTGCGCCTGACACCTTTTGCATAATTTAATGGTAAAAACTTTGCTCAAAATCCTATTGAACACAATCAGATACACCTGATAACAGGGGGCAGAAGACTACACAAAAAATAATCTGGATTTATCGCATAGAAATAAATTATTAATATAAAAAATGTATTTCTGTTTTTTATTTTTACATATTTTGTTAAAAGGCAAAATAAAGACTTCAAACCAAAAAAAAGTAATTTTCTGTTTTGTTTTATTCTTGGATCAGGCTTTAAAGGGTTAACAGTTCCTCCCCAGGTGAATGTGTCAAACACTGGGACTTAGGGAGAACTCTTGGAGTCTTTTCTCCAAGGCTACTAAAATCGATCTGCTCTCGGGTTTGTTGTTGGGAACCTTTGGATTGAGAGATAGCTGGCGTCCACCAGGATGAGCCAGATGGTGGGAACCAGGGCTGTGGGTCTGGAAGCCAAACGAACCTGGCGTGGTGTTTTACGATGGGCAGCAAAATAGCAAAATCTCTCAAAGTAACGGCGTTCTGAGCTACTCACATCACGGCTGAATACGTGATTACGGACTGTGTGGATGCTGGCAGATGTATTTATTAACGACATTCTGCAGGATAATAGCGTTCCAGGTCTGGTTCTGGTTCTGTGTTTGCAGCAAAACACTAAACACATCTATCTATCTATCTATCTATCTATCTATCTATCTATCTATCTATC